TGGCTTAACAGAGAATGGAGGTGTGACACAGTGTTCTGAGAATCTCCTTGCCACTGCCTTTGAGAAGGAACAGATCATTTCTAAGTACTGAGGAAGGATCTGGAAGAACTGAGCCCACAGGGTCTGAGGGGTGTTTTTTGAATGATGTCTGAAATGGTCACTAATGGCGATGTCTGAAGTAGTTACTGATAACCATGTAAAGAGCCCTGAGTCATGTCTGAGAAGCATGGGGATTAACAGGAAATAAAATCAATATCTGTACAGCAAACCAGCGCCGGCTCTGTTGGCAACTGTAGAGGTTTTAAAAGTTCATTTTTTTTTTTTATCATAATACGTAAGACTTGCTCACTGGAAAAAAATTCAAACAATACTTATTGGGAATCAGGATACACTGTCCCAAAATGTAACAGCAAGAGACCAGAACTGCCACCCAAAATAATTTTTTTTCTATAAGTAATTACTTTATTTTTTAAATTTATTTTTTAAATACATGAAAATAGTGGAATGCATTACACTCATTATTACCCATATACAGCACAATTTTTCATAACTCTCTATATAAAGTATGTTCATGCCAAATTATGCCATTATACATGTATTCTTTTTTTGCATTACAATTCTTAATATACATATATACCACATTTTTTCATATCTATGTTTGTATATACCAAAAATAAATTTCTTTGGGAGATTTTGAACTGCCTCTTTGGAAAAATAGCAGACACAGGGGAGCCCTGCAAAGCTGTCTTTTTGTAAGAGCAATGCACATCTCTAAAATTGACTCAGGAAAGCACCTGCTAGAGGAAGAAGCTGGGAGTGAGCCCATCACCTGAGAGACTTTCTATCAGCTGGCAGCACAGCCCCGGCTCCCCACGCTTTCACCTTCCTGCCCTCTGTGGCCTGGCACTGCCTCCCTTCTCCCAGAAGCCCTGAGCATCTACTACTTTCTGCAGCTCAGGATGGGCATAAACTCTGGCCCTTATTTGAGAATCATATTTTGTGTGATTTTTATGCATATTCATAAAATTAAAATGTTTTTTCCTCTGTTAATCAGTCTGTTATTTATTTTGTGGACTCAATTTTCAAACCTTCAGAGAGTAGAGAGAAAGTTTTCTGCCCCCTCCAACTGTCCCTGCATCAGTCAATCTCATGCTCTGAGCACCAGTTTGGTGCCAGGGGCCAGGCAACCATGAACAAGGAGGGCAGAAAGTCGCGTGGATCTTCTGCCCTCCTTGGGAAGAGATGCTGTGGGACAGTGATGAGAGCCAACATCCCCTTTCCAGAAGAGTAGGAGAGAAAGAGAGCCATCTTGTTATTGAATAAGCATTCAGCCAGAATGAGATGCTTGTCACTGGCAAGCCAGGAAGAGGGGCAAAGACGCAAAGAGAGCTCAGCCTCGTGGCAGCTGAGCAGATACAGCCCATTCTATACATTTTCTTGAGATGAAGGTGGGTGACCCTCAAGTCAGAGGACTTGGCAGTGCCATTTGTCACACTCTTAAATTCACCTGGCAACTGGGGTGGTTGCTTGAATTTGCCAGTTGTATTCAAAGGAATGCCAAACTTCTCATCTCTCTCCATCAGGCATGTGGTTGTAACCTGGACTTATTTACCTGAGCTTACTTCTCACAGGCAGGAGGAGATGGGAAGGTCTTCTCCCAGATCTTTGCATTTCAGTGAAGGCTTTTGAGTATCTAAGAAAAGCATGCCTGGGCAAGAGGCTCATTTAACCTTTAACAAGGTTTTCATGCATCTCAAAAAGCCAAATTAAGAATTTACAACCAAGATTCCGAAGAGAAACACTCAAAGAAGAGGGTCCTTCCTTTTTTGCACCAGGGAAAATGAGTAGTATTTTTTTTTTGTAATTGGTATTTATTGATTCTCAGTTAGGTGTTAACAAATATACACTAATGTCACGTGCAATAAGCTCCTTAGGGAAGTCGAGTAAGGGGCTAGGCAGGTGTTGGATGTTCCATGAGTAGAGCAGGGTGAGCGGGGAGGCCTGATCAGCTGTTTCCCTGTGTCCTTCCAGTGTGTTTCTGTGTACAACAAGGTGTCTGGTTGTTGTCCTACCAAGGACAGCTGTTACAGAGTGGCCTCATCTTTTCTTATGGGGCTGTGTGACACTGGCCCAGGCTGGGCTGTGCTAGAACTGTCTGACTCCCTTCCTTCTTGGGTGGACATTCAGGTGCTCCCTACTGGAGGTGGAGGGTGGCAACTGGAGTGAAGCTGAGCTTCTATCTCTGGCACCACCACTTGCTTCCTGAGTGACACTAGGCAGGGCACTGAACCTGTGCCCCAGTTTCCTCATATGGGAGGTGGGAATAGGATCCCCAGTACACGATGGGTTATGTAAAGGGCTTGGATTAGGCCGAGCTCAGAGCAGGTCTATATTGGTGTGAGCTGATATTATCATTATAAAATGTATTAATCATTGTTGATAGTGAGTTTGAGTTGCCCACGGGGCTTGTAATTATCTTCTCATTAACTCAGGCATCAAGTACTTATTGAGCACCTGTGACCTGCACAGTACTGTATCCAGCACTACACTGCTGGACAACTGGGACAGGATCCCTGCCCATATGGAGCCTAGGATTGGGTGGGGGTGATGTGCAGGGAACCTGTAGCCAAGAAGAAAGTCTTATGAGCCAGGTGGGCGGTGCCTGATCCCACCAGAAAGGGCCCTTCCAGAAGGCAGCACTGGGCATCTGAGGGGGAGAAGACAGGCGTGGAGCTTGCAGGGGAAGAGGCTGAGGAGCAGGGGGACGGCACAGGCACATTTCCCCAGGGAGCAGAGGTGTGTGGGAAGTGGTGGGCAGACTCAGAGGAGGCCAGCGTGTCAAGGCTCCAGTGTGGGGGCACAAGATAGGCCTGGAGAAACTTGCCAGGAGCCAGATCTTCTGTTGGGGTTACAGAAAACGACACCCCAAAGACTGTTGCTGAGATGTATGGAGCGGCCTCTGGGGCTGCTTCTGGGTCACCGGCTCTCTGACCTCTTGTAACTACCATGCCCTCCTTCCCCCAGCGCTGGGGGGGGCTTTCCGCAAAGTTCCCTTGTTACCTGATTGGATTCACAAAAAGAGAATCACAAGGGTCTTCGGTTTTCTTACTGAAATTTTATTAACCAGATAAGATTAAAGTCCTATAGCAGGAAGGCAGGCGAGCCACCCAACATCACTGTGTAGAGCCTAAGAAACTTTGTCCCATCCTTTGTTCTTCTGGACCCATCATCTGCTGTAAAAATTACCCTCTATCCCTTTAAAATTGTCTACAGTCCTTTCTCTCTTGCCTATGAAGAGGGTATTTAAGCCTCAATTGACCTTCTCTTTGAGTCTGTGTATTTCTCCTGTTTCTGCTTATAAATAAAATTGTGCCCCCAACTGGCCTATTGTCAGTTTATTTCTTAGACTAAAATGATCACATACGTCTTCAGAGGGAAAGGGCAAATTTAGAACTTCCCTTGTTGACCTTCCCTAGCCAAATTAGCCTCACCGGGGAATGGGGACATAATGCTCTCATCTACTCTTAGAGCCTGGCATAATCCACATACCCGCTGTTCTATTACTCTCCGAGTACTGCTACTTATGATTGTTGCCATATTACTCTTGTTTAGAGGATATTCCCATCCAAGATTAACAGCTGCTATTTACTGCACACCCCGCCGCGTTCTAAGTTCTTCATGCGGATATGCATTTATACCTGACCCGCAAAACAGAAAGGGATAATGCCAACCCCAGATTAAGGGGATAAGGGAGGAGGGGGGCTCTCGGGCGCAGCCCGCTGGGGGTGCAGGCTTCGCGAGCTTGGCCCCGCCCGCAGCGAAGTTTCTTCCCCCGGACGGCAGCTACCCGAAGCCATTCCCATCCGCATTTTGCTCACCCTCGGCTTGAAGGCGACCTGACCTTAAGGTTGCCGGAGACTGCAGGGGTCGGAGTTTGGGGTCCCGACGGCGCTCCAGCGCTGCTCGTGGGAAGTGACTGGGTGAGCAATGCCCCAGCGACTGAAAACCTTGCACTAGATGTCCTCGCCCAGGAGGTGGCGCTGCAGGCTCTCCCAAGACTCAGACTACCCAAGGAAGGCAGGACCGGCACTCTGGGCTGGGGAATTAGGTTACTAACGCCACTACTTAAAGACAGCTCTCCAAATCCTCCAGCAAACCTTTTCTGCATGAGTCAGGAATTGTCTTTTGTAGGATGCCAGCCATAAACTCAGGCTTAGGAGCTGGAGAACCTAATACTCTAAATACTCAGAGTTTTAACCAATTTCTTTTTTTCCTAAAACTTTTTGTTATCGAAATGGATCCACATTTATGCAAAATGTATGAATCCGTTGACATAATATCTTTAAAGAGAAGTATGCAAACATAGCAGGTAGAGTTCTAAATGTGAGGAAACGTATCAGGGCTTAGTAAGACTATGAGTGACTTTGTACAAGGGAGGCAGCAGCCAAGCTACTGTTTGCCTAAGTGTCCCTTTGATTGAATAATACCTCCCCCTTCTTCCTGCAGATTCTTCCATCAGCCACTTCCTGAAGAAGGAAATGGTAAATAGAAAAGAGAGATTTTCTGAGAAGGGAAGTGATTTCAGGGAGCTATTCAGCAGTTGCCTTTATGATTGAGCCTGGGTCTTTGAGATATATTGGGTGGGAGGTCATAGGCCAAGCCTCCCATGCCCATGGGGCTGGTAGTTTTGTCAAGCAGCCAAGCAGTAGGGCCAAGTCTTGTGCAAGGGGCCTGGCTGTGTAGGAGGGCAGCTCTTCTGTCTCTAGCACATTAATACCATCTGCATGCCCTAGGTAGCCACATCTACAACTGAACTGGGTAGTAGATTTTAATAGTGGAGAAATACTCCCCCTTCCATCCAGAGGTGAAGTCTGTTTCTCTGCTCCTTGAATTTGGGTTGGCCCATAATTTGCTTTGGCCAACAGTTATTAATAAAGCAGAAATGATGGTGTTTGAGATGTGAGTCCAGTCCTGAAGAGAACTTCCGCAGTTCTGCTTTTGCTTTTAGGAACTGTGACCACTCCGTGCACAAGCTCAGGTTAGCGTGCTGGAGGATGAGACCACGTGAGTCATGCTACCCCCCCCCCACCAACCCCTACCCCATCTAATTTGGAAGCTATCTGCAAGTTCATGAAAAAGCAAGCCCAGATGATATCATGTGGCAGAGCCCTACCCAAACTGCTGAATCCTGGAAGCATGAGACAGTACATGGTAGTTTGTTACATAGAAAATGCCAACTGATCCTTGCTGGACTTCTGGATTTGGGGAATGTAAAATCTCCTGCATTTTAAATGTGGGCAATGAACTTTTAAAATTATTTATTGATTTATTTTTTATGTGTTCTTTTTAGATATACAGGACACCAGAGTGGGCAATGCATTTTTAAAACACCACTGGCCAAAATAGATATTTTTGAGCTCTGCACGGGACCCCAGGGATTGCCAGTTTGCAAACACTGCTGTAAAGCCATGGAAGTGGACCTTAGTTTGCTGCTCATAGCAATCTAAGTTCATGTAAATCACAGTAAGGTATAAATACAAACTTAATGTCTTTGTGGAAAATAACTTGTGTGTGTGTGTGTGTGTGTGTGTATGTGTGTGATTGCTGTTAAGAAGCATCTGTCTTTTGGGGCTTTCTTTTTGGAATATGGAAACTCACTTTATACCTGTGGGTTTCTTTGTTCAAGATTATCTCTGGTCCTGTTTACAAATAGAATCTTCATGCTTCAGTAGCTATAAGGTCCTAATCTTGTTACCCCCTGCAGCACATCTGGACAATACCCGAGCTTTAGCTTCCGCACATTGATGCTTTAATAACTTCATTTGGTGAATAATCAGTGGATATTGACAAGGATGAGGAAGTGATTATTTTGGTCAGTGTCCCTGAGAAGTGCTAAGTGAGGTAGCAAGAGGAGCTTGACATTCTTTTCACAACAGTTTTTGAAGCTTCCAAGTTATTTTCCTCACATTATCTGTAAGTCTTAAATAAGACCTTACATACAATCTTGGTCCTAACTGCCTGCCATGAAGAAACAGATGCAACCCCAGTTGATGTGTTCTTTTATCATGGCCATCCTAGCGGGCAGGAAGCGCCCTGGCTCCTGGTGGTTTTGATTTGCATTCCCAGAAAGACTGAAGCAAAGCAGAGAGGCACAGTTCATAGCTGATTGTGCTGAGAGGAAACCAGGTGTGGGGTATCACAGCTCTGCTCTCATGTGTGTTCCAAAGATGTCAGAAGAGCCTTGAAAGTAGGTCCACAAGTAGACAAGAGAAGAGCATTTCAGATGGTGCAAACAGCATCTGCAAGATGTAGAGACGGACATAGAACAGCGCCCGCCACTCCCCAGGTCCACTGAGGACAGGTTACACTGCACTCTCCTCCCTGCTGCTGGCTGTCTTTCTTGTCTGATTTCTTTTTCTCCGCAGCTTGTACCATGACGCCATGCTCTGTAGTTCAATATTTGATTATTTAGGGTCTATCTCTCCCCACTCAAATGTCCGCTCCATCATGGCGGCTCTTTCCTTCTTATCCTCAACATGGGGACAGGCCCTGGGCTACAGTACACACCCAGCATGATTTGGAGGATGGAAGAATGAATGCATGCATGAGTGATAGAGGCCAGGTCCCAACATATATTCTGAATAGGGGTAATATTTGACACAGGTGGTAGGTATAGCTACACATCTGGTGGTATTCAAGTTCATGTAAATTATTCCCCTGAGCACCATGGAGACATCTAAGAAGCCACTGTTCTGAAATAAGACTAAAAGGGAAAATCAGTCACTTAATTTAAAAGTATTCATGCTTCTGTATAATAATTAAGTGTAAAAAGAAAAAAGCATGTAACGATATTAGTTCTATCATCAGCACCCTTTTTTCTTTTAAATCTTTAAAATACATGTCCATCAGTTGATGAAGGAATAAAAATGTGCTATGCTTATGTATTTATTCAGCAACAAAACAAAACAAAACCCAGAATAAAGCACTGACATGCTACAATGTAAATGGATCTTTTTTTTTTTAAAGAGAGAGTGAGAGAGGAGAGAGAGAGAGTGAGAGAGAGAATTTTTAATATTTATTTTTCAGTTCTCAGCGGACACAACATCTTTGTTGGTATGTGGTGCTGAGGATCGAACCCGGGTCGCATGCATACCAGGCGAGCGCGCTACCGCTTGAGCCACATCCCCAGCCCTGTAAATGGATCTTAAAAATTTTATGACAAATGAAAATGGCCGGGCACGAAAGGCAAATATTGCATAATTCCATTTATGTGAATTGTGCAGAATGGGTAACTCCATGAAGACAGGAAACAGATCAGGCATCACCAGGAGTTGGGGGAGGGGAAATATTGGGAGTAATTGATATAGGTGTAAGGTTTCTTTTGGGATGATGAAAATGATCTAGAATTGGATAGTGCTGATGGCTGTACAACTTGATGAGTATTCTAAAAGCAACTAAATTTAAAAGGATAAATTTTATAGTGTGCAGATTATATTCATTTTTAAAAAGACATATTCTCTCTTGCCTTTTTTACTTTGACCCTGTTTGCTTTGTCTTCCTGAATCGCCAAGCTCTCTGTTCTGGCTGGTGTTGGAGTGGGCGTGCTGCATGACTCCAGTTACCCTGACGTAAAGGACCCACCCATCTTGTTCCCACCAGGAGCACAGGAGGCTAAACATTTTTGTCTGCAGTCTCAGGTAGGGAGAAATGAAGCTGGCACACAGGCCACTCTAACTATGAGCAGTTAGGGACTGAAAAATGATACCCACCTCCTCAAATTGAAGACATTGCCAGGTTGAAAGCTGAGTGGTGCCATGGAGAAGGCTGCATGCTGGAGTGGAAAGACAAGTTTTGAGACCTTGAAAACTTGGGTTCAAGTTCTAGCTCTCCTATGTGATTTCACTTCTGAGCCTCAACTTCTTCTTTTTTTGGTGGTTTGGGGGATCCAACCCAGGGCCTTGTGCATTTGTGGAAGCACTCTACCAACTGAGCTGTATGCCCAGCCCTCTCAACTTCTTTACTGGGAACAATGCTGCTTATCTTGGAGGATTTTGGTGAATAAAGACGATGAACTAAGCATGCCCCACATAAATCTGCTGCTCAAGTTAATGGTGGTCAGGCTTCCTATAAAGTCACACTGATCTTGGATATGATCTGTTTAAATTTGGCTGGAATTAATTTGAAATTTGTTAGAAAAAGCAGCAAGAAATTGACAAAGTCATCCTTTGAACTTTCAAATGAAAGGGAACTCCATAACCTGTGAGACTGGGAGGCATGGGGAACTCGGTGTAGGGTAAATAGGATTTTTGCAGAAAAACATTCAAACTCTCTTAACATTTAAATAGTGCATTTGTTTCCCAGGCAACCAAAAATCTAGATTCCACTCTTAGGTTTAAAAAATGCAAATGTACTTCAGAGAAGGCTTGAACTTGATGCACATCTGTATAAAGGATCTTACTTTTCAACTCCAAATCCAAACCAGGTGCTTTGAAATGTAGATGGATTAAGCAAATCTGGGTTCTGTAAGCACAGATGTCATTGTGCAGTTTGTACCATATGCTGCAGCTTGCTCTGAGGCTGGGCACAAGGCGTTGTGAGCCAGTGTGCCATGTGTAGAACTCAGGTGCCAGAGAGAGACCTTGATTTTGCTCTGACTCCACTTAATTTCTAGCTTAAGATGCACCCACAACCCCACCTGGACAGAGCTTGACTCTCTCTTCTGTTGTGGGCACTTCCAGGGCTTCTGCCATGCTGGGAGGTTAGGATTTGCAGTTCTCTGGCTCCACATGCTTGTTCAAGGTGCCCTCTGAGAGTCCCATCATCCTCTGTTCAGAGGTCCCTGTGGTGCTGTCCCTCACATCTGGCTGCCAGGCCTCTTTAAGTCTTTTGTGCTTCAGTGCCACCATGAAGGTTTGATGCTCACTGTGCTGTCCGTGGGTCAGTTTGGGCTACCAAACTGCATCGATGACCCAGGAGTCACTCCTTTCCTGCTTTTTGACCCTCTGAGACTTTGTCCAGACATGAAGTCTAAATCACTTGTCCCTGATATTTGTGAGGACATTTTTGTAAGACATTTGTCTAGAGCACAAGTGGAAGCTCACATTGTCCACACCTAAATACTTAATAGTTACATATAAAGCTAACCAAGTGCTAAATAGCACACCTCTGAGCTTTATACTTTGGCAAATACACCTCCATATTGACCTGGAAGGTGTGACTTAGCGTTCTTGTACTCTTCACAATTTCCCCTGGACCATGGCAACTTGAGGAGAGCTGGCCCTGGTCTTGGCCCACCTGTCATCCTTCTGCTTCCAACTCTATTCTGTGTCTTGAGAAAGCTTGTAGTGCACATGTGCTAACCGTGATAGATAGGCACAACCTAGCTCCTTCCAGATCTCATGCAAAAGCCACGGCTCAGTCATACTATACATTGGTTTGGCATCAGACCATGAGAGAGACCCCTGCAGTCTTTGGATGTGGGTGTGACTGTTTGGCAGGAAATGCTGAGCCCAACGAAATGGAGTGGGGGTGGAAGAGGGCCCTGGGAAGTCATCATGAACTCTTGACTGCAGGGACCCCTCTACTGGGAGGAGGTGTTCGGGGAGGGTAGAGGAGGGTGAGAGCCAGGCTTTCTAAAGCACAGGTCTTAAGGCAGGAGTCCCTCTTGCCCAGGCATTGCTCAAATGGAGGCCACCTAGCTGCCAGCTTTAATTTTCAACTGTCATAACTGGGGGTAGATGGAGGAGAAGTGTGCTGTGACCACTGCAATGTACAGGTCAGCCCCATGACACAGAATCATACAGCCCAGAATGTCAACTGTGTGACAGCGCCACAGTTGAGAAACCCTGTCTAAGGCCAACTACACAGATGATGTGGCTCACAAATGCTGATGACTGGGAACACCGTTGTGCTTGATAATTTTCACATGCACACTCATGCAGACACCTAAACAATATTGTCACAGCACTTTTGAATTGGAGATGAAGTGGGTGAGGCAGGCATAAAGTGGCCTCCCAATGAGTACTTGTTTCCCTAGGTCCTTTCATCTTCCTGCAAGTAGATGGGGACAACTTCATTTCATGGCCACTCCTTAGAGACCCACTCAAATGATTTAACTGAGAAGAATGAATCTATTTTGTCTAATCATCTCAGATATGAACACGTATATAAATTTAAATATGGCATATAATACAATTATATAAGAATAAAATATTAATGCAATTATTCATGTAGATTTTGATTTCCAACCTATTTTTTAAATTTTAAAATAGACTTTTATTTTATAATAGTGTTAGATTTATAGAAAAGTTATGGAGACAATACAGAGTTTGTAAACATGGACAGTTCTCTACATATGATGGTTTGATTTTAGGATTTTTTGACTTTACAGTGGTGTGAAGGTATACCTAGACAGTGTAGTTTTCACTTTCAGTACATTATTAATAAATTATATGAGGTATTCAACACTTTACTATAAAACACACTTTGTGTTGAATGATTTTCAGTCAACCCTGTGGACTAAAGAGTTCTGAGCACTGGCCTAAACTTGTTCTGAGCACAAGCT